TACGGCACGAGAAGTGCAAAAACGCATAATCGCACCGGCCCGCCTGGTGCGTTCCAACCTGGGTTTTTTTTGTAGTCGACAATTCTGTAACTCCACAACCAAAGCACCAGCTAGAGTGTTTAAATTTTTTGAGCGTGGCCCACGACTGTGTTTGTGCAGGTGCATACTTGAAACAGCTGCTACAGATTCATTGCCTGGATTGAATACTTTTTTTAAGAAAGCTGTATAAATTAGCTTGTTAACTGTAAAAATCTTTTGCGTTTCAGCACTAAATCTAAATTTATGAGGCTGAATCATCAACTGTGCTGCATACGGAAAAACACTAAAATTTACTAATTCAGGAACTCTCAGCGTTTTCTTGTTTTTGTTTTCCCTATTTTCCTGTATTGTTGCGTTCCTGGATCTTGTCACAGTGGATAATCCACAAAAAATTGCTCCATATTTGCTGATAACTTGTCCTGAAATTTTGGTATTTTTCCCCGAATTTCCTGGATCTGAAATTTCCTGAAAAATAAGTTTTAGTCCAATGTTTTACATTCCAGCGAGGAAGTCCATTCTGCTGATTTGTTTGCAGTGATTCCAGAAAATGTGCATGAAGAACAGCTGGTGAACAGCGCGGATCTGGATGCTGCTGCTGTTGCTGCGATGAGTAAAGGAGAGGAGTTTCCCACAGTGGATGCATCACTGACCGGTGGTCACGAGAATGTCGTAAGTTAATTTCCGGTTTGTTTCGTTCAATTTTTCTGTTGCAGCAGCTTAACTCTCACAAATTTTTGTGCGTCAAATAACCACCAGCAGTAGTTTGCCTTGCTTCTTCCGTTCTGTAGAACTAACGTGCAATCCTTGTTTCTAATAGCTTCAGAATGAAGCAGAATCCACCCATGCTTCGAAATTAAGTTCTTTTTATGCACTTTTTTTAATGTACATTTCTAGAATCTATATTTCAGCTCTTGCTTCCGCACAGGTTACAGTATCTTATAGAGATAGAGGGTTTTTATTTTAAAATTTTAGAGCAACGATATTTTTGAGACAGTTTTGTTTGTTAGAACAATCGCTAGCATCAAAATTTTATGAAAAATATTTCGATTTGGCCGAAATTCGTCCCCGAAATTTGTTTTGCTCCGCAGAAATTGATTCTTAGTTC